CAGCAGCACTGCGGCTACGGGTCGGAGCAGCAGGACTGCTGCCACGGGCTGCAGCAGACGGTCTTCTGGCACGGGTCGCAGCAGACGGTCTTCTGGCACGGGCTGCAGCAGACCGTTTTGCTCTTCACGACGGAGCAGCATGAGGTGGAGCACATGTCGTTCGTAGTGTGGTCAAAGGGGGCTGGAGCGAGGACCTGAAACAGAGCAGACTTTCAGATACGAGCCACCTTTCCAAGTATGTGGATGCGTTTTCTATTGGAACACAAACACCACTGTCTAGGCCCATGGGTGACAGCCATATTCCAGAGCGCTTCCTAATTACGGGTCTGGAGTTGCAAAAAAAACCCCAAAACCCTTGCAAAAATCGAGACCCCTGCCACTATCGCAGCAATATTTGGACATCTTTCGAGCCATCCTGGGCTCAGCCATAAAGATCACTCCTGGAATTTCCATCCCCAGCAGCTTATTTTCCACTCTGCTCCCTCTACCATCTTTTGCTATGAGCCGCAGACCATCAGGCTAGAAAAATCAGAATTTCAAAGAGAGATGTAGGTCATAGCACCTAAGAAGAGTTGGGGTTGGAAGAGACCTTTAAAGGACCAACCCCGTACAAAGATAAGACATTTCCATTCGTCCCTTGACCCAAACCAAAGGAGACCCATGGTTATGGAGGAGCACCGCTAATGGGTGACACTTACCGTGCTGAGTGAGTGGTGCAGTTGAGTGAGGAGCAAAGGGATGAGGAGACCTTTTATTTAGCTCGAAATTGTCCTGCCGGAAATGAGGTACCCCACAGCAATCTCCGATTTACGCACTAAGCCTATACTTATTTGTTGAATGGGCCTTCATCTGCTTGGCCTTTGCCTCGTTGCTTTTGACCAACCCCTCAATTTTGCGTTATGACCAATTTGCTCCGTGAATTTTTTACAATTTTTTAATGTCAAGTTAATTCTTGCGTGATGCTTGTGAACCACCTGAAAGGTACGTTTCTGCTCATTTCGCATATGGTAAAGCTGTTATATTGAGATGCTAGGTGGCTTGTTCAGAGGTAGTGAGTGCTCAATTAACATAAAAATCATAATTAAGATTGAGGATTGGTGGATTCCAGAGGTGTGCAGAGGCCTTCTGCACGTCAGTCACTTCTCAATGTAATTTTTTCAAATAGAATTCCAGCAAATGTAATTCCATGGCCCCACGTTTTGCTTTTTAATACAAAAACGATGAAGCCTAGTGGCTTACGTTGAGGTCTCTGGTCATCAGAAAGGCAAATACGTAACAGAAAGTTCTTGACATCTCATCCCCTGCTGCCTTATCCCATCCATTATGGGAAAATACATGCCCTTGGCCTTGCCAATATCAGAAATTTTGGGTGCAAATTCACTGAGGAAACAGGAATAGCTTTTGGTCAAATTGGAATAGGATTTTGGTCAAATTGGAATCCATATTTTTCCAATTCCTTTCTGACATCTTTAAATAAAAGCAAAACACAAAACTTTTCTGGAAGTTTTATATCCTGTTTCTGCTTGGCGTAACTTGACCTGCAAAATTCCAATTCCATTTTTTTTTTTAAAAAGTTCTATTATGCCCTCGAGTAATGGAAGATCCACCTACGGATGTTAATTTTGGAATAATTCTATGCTCAGCTCTCAGTCACCCATTGGCAGTCATTAGAGTTGATGTTAATGATCATGTTGCAATTATTCATTAATGGTGTTAATAGTTATTTTGCACAAAAGCCTGAAGGCCTCACATGATATCCTGAGCATCTTTAGGATTTCCAGTTGAACTACGTCTTTTTAAAAAAATTATCTCTCTCTGGTCAGAAGGAATCCACGGGACCCGGGACTGTGACAGACGTGATTAAATATTTCATTTCCGAGATCATCCCTGGGAGGAGGTTCTGCTGCAAGGCCGCGCATCCATGGGAGCAGAACACCCAGGGACCCTTGAGCCCCCTCCCCTGCAGTGCGCAGCTTCCCTGGAGATCTCCTGATTCCTGCGGAGGTGAAGGAGAGAAGATTCAGGCTGTTTCTGTTATTACCCAAGGACAGCACAAATGAGATGCTGAGGGCAGGACAAGCCAACACAAACTTTCGGCTTCTCTTGGGTGGCTACTGGTTTTGTTTGGCTACGTCCCAGCTTTCAGAAAGCTGCCCAGCCTTGCTTTGAAGAATTCAAAAGCATGAAGTCATCACTTCTCCAGGCTGGCTCTTTCGAAGGTCGAGGTTCCTGTCCACGAAAACACAGGCTTCACCTCCTACTGAGTTTCCCTTCATGCTAACGACCGGGTTCGACAGGGTCACTGCCACACATTGCAGTCTAATTAGCGATACACCAGCTGAGTGATTACATTAACGATTTACACCTGCTGAGCATCTCAGCAAACAATAAAGGAGGTTCAGGGCAAGCTGGGAGGGGGCTTATGAGCCTGTGGAGAAGAAACAGGAGACTGATGTCGGAGTGATTTACACCTGCTGAGCACCTCAGCAAACAATAAAGGAGGCTCAGGGCAAGCTGGGAGGGGGCTTATGAGCTTGTGGAGAAGAAACAGGAGACTGATGTCGGAGACCTGGTGGATCCTGAGCATTGAGGTAAAGTAGGAGATGTTGGTCAAAATGATGCATTTTTTTTGCGTGTGACTTTGCATGGATCTGGTTGTTTTATCTGGTGCCCATCTGAGTCCAAAACACTGTTGGAGTTGGATGCGAGCACTGGAGATGCCTAAAGCTGTGTGAGATGGATCCACAGGAACCTGGGAGACCCTCAATTGGGGAGTTTTACAGAAGAAAAAATTCAAATTAGATCAAAAAAAGATCCCAGTTAAAATTTGCATAGAATAGGTGAACTTAGGCTCTGTAAGATGCCCAGAGTAACACCTCTCTGTTTGTTTGGATTTGAGAATTATGGATGCAGTGGAGAAATCCTCACCAGGAAACAGCTGAGGCAAGTTGCTCCTCGTTGACGATTAATCCTTAGGGCTTTGCTCACGGTTTATCCTGGCTGCGAAAATCCCCTGTTACGTTATTTAGCACATACTCAGTAGAGCAGAAATGTTCCTTTAAGCTATCTAGAGGACTTCTTCTCTTGCCAAATGCCTGTGGTCTGATTTTAAATAAGTGTTCTAATGAGGTGAAGCATTTATAAAAGCTTTGGTCCTTGATGTACCAGGTGTCAAACCTCTCCAGGGCTGACAAAAGCATAGAACAGAAATGAAACAAAGCAAGCTTTACTCTTGTTTCCCCGTTATTGCTGCAATTTCTTGTCTTCAAGTTAATGGGTCAGGCTTGAGCCCAGCAGAAGGTGTAACCAGTTCAGAGGCTTTGTGCCTTTTGTGGGACTTGGAAAAGGCTGAGGAAATAAAATGTGCTGTGATGGGTCACCGAATGGAAAGTTGGAGGCATGAGGCAGTGAGGGAAAGTGAACGTATATACTTGAAGACCAAACCCCTCCTAGGGATGGAAAGCCTCGCTGACTCAATGCCCATCCGCAGAGAGATGAGGAATGAATAAGGAGAAGAGTTGTTAACGTAGCTGCCAAGGGTCGTGTGAAAATGAGCCACCTCTTGGCAATGGCAACAATTTGAATGTAGGTGAGTAATTAATTGCTCGCTGCATTCCCGTTTGCAACTTTTCCTTTTCAGCAGGCTGTTCCTCTATAATGACAATTTTCTCCGTAACCTATAAATAACTAATTCCAATTAGTTATACACCAACTGGTTGTTTACTTGCAGTGCTCAGCTCATCCAACCTATTGCCCGTGCCTGCCCTGGGATGGATGAATCACACTGGGGAAGCCTTCTCTTACTTTATGCTGTAGAATTGGTTTAACTGAGGGTGCTTCCAAGGCAAGTTCCAAACCCTGCAGGATTTGCTTGGTTTTGTTTCCAAATATAGCAGTGGCTTTCAAAGATTGCATCTGCAGTAAAAACAGGCGTGCACAGGTCAGGTTGTAACCCTGAAACTCCCGTCATATCTGCTGAGCTCAGGGCAAATACTTGGTTTCTCCAGGAATTCACCCAGCGGGTCTATGGGAGCCCTCTGTGTGCGACGCAGAGCTCCTGGCATCACTGGTGGGTGCCAGGGGCGTTTTCCTTGACTTTCATTTTTTCCTTGGCATTCCTTCTGCTTTAGCTGTTTCCAGCATGAGCGCGGCTCTAAAACCACATGAAAAAAAGATGCCGCCAGACAAGGAGATATGATGGAGCGGTGACTGAGAACAGCCAGAACGGTTAGGTAGGCTCAAAATATAATTTTTATTGTCTTGCTGCAGAACAAAGCAAGGAAGAAACTACTCCCAGAATTGGCACAAAGAAGTTAAGCAGCTCAAAGCTCATTAAACTGAGACAACTCATGCTAATGCCATGCTAAGCTCCAAGCAAGCAATGAGCAGAGAGATGGGCTTGAGGCTTTGGGGAGGAACGAGCTAGTGGGTCCGGGTGCTGGGGTCAGATCCTGCTTCTAGTACTTGGGGCACGTCGGTGGCAGCTTGCAGATGTTCTTGGAGTACTGGGGGTAGAAGGGAGCTGGAGGGCAGTAGGACTGCACAGGAGGGCAGTAGCGCTGCACAGGGGGGCAATAGGGTGTCACGTAGGTGTACATGGGCACCGGCTGCCTCTGGATGGTGTAGTGGCAGGAGGAGCCCGACTCATGGCAGGAGGAGCGGGATCCGTGGCAGGAGGACTCATAATCATGGCAGGTCCCGCGGGAGCACATCTTTGTAGATTGTTGGTGAAGCTGTGAGGAGCAAGAGATCAACGTGGTGAGAGGAGACTCAGATTCACTTCTTATACTCCCTCACTTTTATTTTTTTTTTAAATAATATTTTTCCTGAGATCCCCAGTGAACAGTTTCTCTCTTTCTTCTGGCCTCCCTAATCCAGACAGAT